CCCTATGCTCACCAGTCATTCGATTACATTCCTGAACCAGATTCAGCTCAGACATTTCCTCTTTAAAATCACATTTAAACTTGTCTTGTTTCGAATCATTTTCGGGATATTATTCGTGAACCAGATTGATCTCTGGTACAGTTATATAAAAACACGTGTGTTTGTCTGATCCAGATGGAAATAATGGGTTTTAGTTATCTTCCCTTTTTTTCTGGGAATTTAATGTTCCAAGTTGATATTCTTGCGGTGTAAATGGTTTCTTGATTGTTAAAGTAAAGTTCCAACTTTCACGGGTCAATAAATCAGTACAAGTTTTGAAATTTCTCGTGTCGATAATCAGATTAAAGCTCGAAGATTTGACAAAGTGAAAGCAAGTGGGTTATGATGATAACTCAAGATCTGTGAGGTTAGGCAAATGACTCTGTTTTTTCTTCTCTTCTTCTGAATCATATTATAAAATATAAACCATTTTTATGTTGTAGATTCCAAGAAGAAGCACAAGCTGTTCATGAAGAATCTGCAGCTAAGCTCAAGTTTAAAATCAATGGAACTCAAATCCCTTCTAGAAAGATAATGACTAGAGGGAAGTCTTTGAAAGCTAAAGTACTCTCAAGAGTGTTCCCTGAGGATCTTGAGAGATTAAAATACAAAATACTCGATCCTCGTGGAAAAGCAATACGAAGATGGAACAAAATCTTTCTCATAGCATGTTTGGTTTCTTTATTCGTCGACCCTCTGTTTTTTTTCTTACCGGTCATGAGAAATGAAGCTTGTATCACCATTGGTATCAGACTCGAAGTGGTTCTCACGCTAATTAGATCGTTGGCTGATGCTTTTTACATCGCTCAGATTCTTATACGTTTTAGAACCGCTTATATCGCTCCTCCTTCTCGTGTATTCGGTAGAGGAGAGCTCGTGATCGATTCCACAAAGATTGCTTGGAGATACCTCCATAAAAGCTTCTGGATTCATCTGATTGCTGCTTTACCCTTACCTCAGGTATACATCATCCTCCAGCTTCAGTGTTTCCATGTGACTTAAACTCTTACGAATCTTGGTTGTTACATTTCCAGGTGTTGATTTGGATCATAATCCCCAATCTAAGAGGCTCACCGATGACAAACACCAAGAACGTTCTTAGGTTCATCATCATTTTCCAGTATCTTCCAAGGATGTTCCTTATCTTTCCGCTTTCTCGGCAGATCATTAAAGCCACGGGTGTTGTAACAGAGACCGCTTGGGCAGGAGCCGCCTACAACCTCATGCTATATATGCTAGCAAGCCATGTAAGCACCTCAAATCTTAGCTATATCTAGCTTAGGAATAAATGTAGCAGACTGGAGCTGTTTTTTTAGTTGGTTAAAGAGGAGTTTGTGGTTTATAAGGATTTGCTAGAATTTGGTTAAGAGTTGACAGTCTCTCCTGAATCAAGTCACCCTGATTTGGTTAATTGGAAATATTTGTGGAATCTATTTTCCTTTCCAGGTTTTAGGAGCTTGTTGGTATTTGCTTGCAGTAGAGAGGCAAGAGGCTTGTTGGAGACATGCTTGTAACATGGAAAGACCAACTTGTCAATACAGATTCTTCGAGTGCAGAAGATTGGACGATCCCCAAAGAAATTCTTGGTTCGAATGGAGTAATATCAGTACAATATGCGAACCGGGAACTAAGTTTTACGAGTTTGGTATATACGGAGACGCGGTTACATCAACTGTTACTTCATCAAAGTTCTTAAACAAGTACTTTTATTGTCTATGGTGGGGCTTGAAGAACCTCAGGTGATTCAGACACAATTTCAAAATAGTTGAAACAGATTTGTCGATTTCACACCATTCAGACAATAATCTGTCTTTTAATTTTCAGCTCTTTGGGACAAAATCTCTCCACGAGCACTTACGCTGGTGAAATTCTCTTCGCCATCATCATTGCGATTCTGGGGCTTGTTCTCTTTGCATTGCTCATTGGAAATATGCAAGTAAGAGAAGCAAATCATGTCGGAAAACAGAGAATTTACTCCACTTGACATAAACTCTGATCATGAAGAAGGGAATTTTTTAAAACATTTTGCAGACATATCTACAGTCTACGACAGTGAGACTCGAAGAATGGAGGATAAGAAGGACAGACACAGAACAATGGATGCGACATAGGCAGCTTCCTCAAGAGCTAAGACAAGCCGTAAGAAAATATGACCAATACAAGTGGTTGGCCACACGAGGAGTCGATGAAGAAGCGTTATTGATAAGTCTTCCTCTTGATCTCAGAAGAGATATCAAACGCCATCTCTGTTTTGATCTTGTTCGCCGTGTAAGCCTTTTTTTCCGATATTGAACCTTAGTTTCTGAAAATGTTTTTTCTCTTCTGATTTTTAGTTAAAACAGGTACCGTTGTTCGATCAAATGGACGAAAGGATGCTTGACGCCATCTGCGAGAGGCTAAAACCGGCATTATGCACAGAAGGTACGTTTCTTGTGAGAGAAGGCGACCCGGTTAACGAAATGCTCTTCATTATCAGAGGCCATCTTGATTCCTACACAACCAACGGAGGCAGAACAGGATTCTTTAACTCATGTCTGATAGGACCAGGCGACTTCTGCGGCGAAGAGTTGCTTACATGGGCGCTAGATCCTCGTCCCGTTGTGATCTTGCCGTGTTCCACACGCACGGTTAAAGCCATTTGCGAAGTTGAAGCCTTTGCGTTGAGAGCTGAAGATTTGAAATTCGTGGCTTCGCAGTTTAGAAGATTGCATAGCAAGCAATTGAGACACAAGTTTCGTTTTTACTCGCATCAATGGAGGACTTGGGCGGCTTGTTTTGTACAAGCGGCTTGGAGAAGGCACAAGAAGAGGAAGTACGCGACTGAGCTGAGGGCAAAAGAGGCATTTCACTGTAGGCTTGAGGCGGCTGCGTCTGCGGTTAACGACGGAAAGTTTACCCGAAGTGAATCGGATTCTGGTATGATATCTTCGATTCAGAAACCAGTAGAACCTGATTTTTCTAGTGAATAAAAGAATATTGTATCTTCTTTGTAGACATTGTGATACAATTTTTAG